CCGATAAGCTCTATAGTTTTTTGGTTCGTAAAGATTAATTTTTGCTTTAATATACCTGGTTATTGCAAATGGACAGCCTGAGCAGAAAGTTTCCTTTGCTTATTATAATAATTTTGTTTAATATACCTGGTTATTGGAAATGGACAGTCTGAGGGGAGAGAGTTTCCTCTGCTTATTATCTGGGAGTTTCATTTTAGTAGCTGCTCCTTCACAATCCAGCGTGATATTCTGATTTTGAGTTTCTTTCTCTCTTGAAATGTCTCTCTCTTTCTTTCCCTTTTTTCTTCTGGTCTCATACCCAGTGTTGATGTTTTCTGTAGGCTCAGAACCACGTTTAAGAACTGGACACTCCGGATTTTCTTTGAGGCAAGCACAATCCACTTTATATTTACTGAAATAAATTAAAAGCAAAGAAGGCAAAATTAATGTTAAATGAATGATGTAGCAGTACAGTCTTCTAAAGCTAAATCTGGCTTGTACATAGTAAATTAACATCTGCTACGACAAGAGATTATATATCTTAGTCAAATAAAAAAGCTAATTGGAATTTTAAACAAACTTTCTTTCCAGTTTGCAGCTTGACGAGCACATAAAAATCTATTCTATTAAATAAAATAAAATAAAAAGGAAAAGTAAGGAAAGAAACATACTTTGGTTGGGAATTTAACGCCCCCCCTGCAAAACACAGTCATTTACTTTTATAAAAAACAAAACAAAACCGAGTTACAAAAAACCTTGTATCTTCCTAGATGGGACACTGCTGGATTCTATTCCTCATATATATAAAACCAAGTGAGCTACTCAAATGAATGCAAGACAGCTTGACAAGTATACAAGTTTTAAGAAATATGAAAATATTAGCATTTAGAAAAGCAAGTTAGCCAGGCTGGCACAGAGATGGCAGAAAATGAAGGAATGCGAAATAAAGGAGGAACAAAAAAGAGCCCGAAGTTGTCTTGCACAAAAAGCCTTGATACTATGCTGTAGGAGCAAGCTTCTTGATAGATTCCCAGATTGCACTCCTGAACCAAACTGAAGAGGTTCTGCACTCTGTAATAACTGCAAATACTCTTCGAATACATGGTCTTTGTTATGTTGTTTATTTAGCAACCCAGTCAAAATGCTAAAACTATGTTACCTTCACGTACTTTACTAACTTCGAACTCCAGACTGCAGCTAGTATTCAGTGGCAGCTGTATTGGTCCAGTCTACAAATGATAATTCTTTGCTTTGACTTCTTCCTAACTTATGAGTAGAGATGAATTTAGTTTCTCAAAAATGAATGACTAACTGGCCGGAAGTTGAGGAATGTGAGACAAATTCTGACAGTTGAACATTTAGAAAATTCTGCACGGAGCTTGGGTGCAATATGTTACCCTGTAATTCTGGCACAAGGCTGGCTGGTGGCATAGGCAGCCTAGCCTGTGTGGAGCATGCAGCAAACTAGGGAGGGTCAACACACAGAAGGATCAGGCAAAGGAAGAAGACTGGAGTGGCACTAAGGGATGACACAGTGCTTACTTTGTGGTACATCTGCCAAAAAGGTTGGTCCCCACTGATTTAACATTTTCGATTATCACTTTCAATAACAGCTTTCTTTTGCTTTTTAATAAGCTTTTAAACATCACCACACTTTTCCACTTGGTTTTGATAGAATGTTCCACTTACCATTTTATTCTTACCATGTCTTTCTTCCTACTGCCTTTTAAAGGATAGGCTACAATAAGAATAGTTTTCACTATTTTTTAACAACTTTTGGAGATGTTGTCCAGTGTGCCCAACTTCATTAATTCACTAAGTAGCAGGTTTAACTCACAAGTACTACATCCTATTTCAGTAATACACATTTAGATGTCCTTTAAGGGTATCCCATGCTGCTTTCATATTACTACTATTACTATATTGTCAGTGAAGCAAATAATTTCATCCAATCTTTTTTTTAGCAATTCACATATTTTACTTCTAAAATACTCTGCAGATGGTACATTTTCTTGTTTCAATGCTGTAGTTAAAACATGGTCAAGGTTTCACCAGGAAGATTCCTTTCCTGACCTGTAATTTATCTACCCATTTGGAAGTTCTGCCAAACCAATCTGCTGATTTCTTATGTAGTTTCCATTCCACATGTTCATATCCTGCTGGTGGGAAAGGTCTGTTTAAAAGACCGTCTTCTGCTGACAGTATTCTTTTCAGAGACTGATAATGAAAGAGCAGAAGCACAGGTAGATCTTGCAAGAGCTTGGTCAGTATTTTGTTGATATTCAGGTGATATCTTGTCTATAAATTATTTAGTAGTCTCATATGTAGCTAATTTGGATGGCTCTTCGTTATGACTGAAGAGCTGAACTTGCATGTATAACACCTCCAGATGATATCACAGGAGTAAAAAGACTTCTGGACCAAGAGTGCTTGTTGAACGTACAATCACTGTCAGTGTTATCTACTTAATGTTCTTCTTAACTTTGAGTTCCAGTCAAAGACATTTTTTAAATGTCTACAGGACATTTCATATATGTAAGGATATGATTAGTCATCCTAGTGGCATTTGGAAATATATATTTCATTTGGCAGTATTTACAAAACATAGGTCCTTTTCTGTCTGAACAACTTTCAGCCTGAACATATTTCCATTTGTTACAAGATAATCAAACCATTTTTGCTGAGGGAGAATAAAAAAAACTGCACATTGATTTATTGTCAGGACATGGAAAAAATCCATTTCTTCTGTTTGGCCCCTCCGGGTCATCTTCCAAGGCCCAAAAGACATAAGCTCATTGCTATCTGTATCATTGAGTCTGCCCAAAGAAACAAGCAGATGGGCAGGTAACAGACTGTCTATTCTTCTACAAGACAGAGGATGTCAATCTCCAAATCCATTGAGGAGAAGTGCTATCTTCTGAATCAGGGATCTGTTCACCACAGCCAACCAAGAGTACAGCAACTTCCTCTACTGCATAAACTGTCTCTACATCAAACTCCACTTCCAGGACTGAAGTTATCAGAAGCAGCAACAGATTAACACACAACAAGGGCTGCTGTGTTCATACTCATTCTCTCATAACACTGGTTCCCGATTACCTCAATACCCAGGAAGTTACAGAACTATATCATAAAGAAGTCCATTTACAAGCATCTGGAGGAAGAAAGCCTGTTCAGAAACAGCCAGCACAAATTTAAGAACAAATCATGTCAAACAAATTTGATCTCCTTGAAAAACTAACAACTTGTGTGGATGAAAGGAATGCCATGGATATTGTCAACAAGGCTTTAGACAAGGTCCTGCAGGACCTTCTCATAAATAAATTGAAGGAATGTGGACTGGACAAAACTACTTTAAGGTGGATAGCCAACTGACTCAATAGCCACAAGTAAAGGGTAATTCTAAATGGATCCCTATCAGAATGGCTGGAGGTTTTCAGTGGAGTCCCACAGGGGTCTGTGTACTGGCCCCAGTGCTGTTCAATCCGTTTAAGTGATTTGGATGCTTGCACAGAAGCTCCTTGAGCAAGTTTGGAGACAACATGAAACCAGGAAGAACTGTGAACACGCTGCAGGACAGAAGTGCAATTCAGAAGAACCTCAATAGACTGGAAAGCTGCACTAGAGTTAACAAGATAAAGTTCAAGGCTGACAACAAATGCAAGATGCTACACCTTGGGAAGAACAATAAAAAACCAAACACAAAATGAGTGATACCTGTCTGGATATCAGCACTATGGAGATGTGTCTGGGAGTTTCCATAGATCACAGACTCAATACGAGTCTGCAGTGCGATGCAACTGTATATGAGGTTTTGGGATGCATCAACAGAAGCATTATGTGCAAGACACAGGAAATGAAGTGACTGTGCCTCTCTCTTGGTTAGGCATCATCTAGAGAAGTGTGTGCTGCATTTTTTAATGAATCCGGGGACGTTAGAGAGGGTCCAAAAGGCAGGTGACAAAGGACTTGGAAGGCAAGTCATACAAGGAAAGGCTGAATGCAGTAGGCATTTTCAGCTTGCAGAAAAGATGCTTAAGAAGGGACACAATGGTAGTCTTTAAAGACTTCAAGCGCTATCATAAAGAGGGAAAACACCTTTTCTCTCTTGCTGCAGAGAATAAAACATGGACTAATAGCTTGAAGGTGCAGCAAAGCAGGTTTAGATTGGATACTGAGAAAACTTCTTCACTGTTAGAACAATGGAATAGACTGTATAGGGAAGCTATGGAATCTCCATGCTGGGAAGTGTTCGAGAAGAGGCTGGGTAAGTACTGATCAAGGATGATCTAGAAATAGTTATGCCTATGCTCTACTATAGATCTTTTTTTCACCTTCCTTGGAAGCATTGGGTTTTTACTGTAGCCAAGGCTGGGATCTTGACTGGGGTGTGCCAATGTTCTTACTGGGACAAGAAGTCAGAGATTCCTCGCTGGATGGCCTCACCCCTATGTTTAGGGATCAGACTGCTTGTCATATCTTGGGTAAGGGAAGGAATTTTACCACCTGGTCAGATATGGGGGCTTTTGTCTTCTGTTGAAGGGGCATGGCCCTCTTCCTTGAATCTCTTGAGTGTATTTTAACAAACTTCATAGTAGCAGAACATTGACCATCATTGTCCCCCTGCTTTACTTGTGGCAAATTAGGATGTTATGTTCGTGGCTGTCAGGGTCAACTGTGTAGTTTTAGTAACAGGGTTAGACAATGGATTTGTATGGGATGGTTTGGATTGGGATGACTGTGCCTCTAGCTAGATGATCTCTGGAGGTCTCCTTCCAAGCCTATTTTTCTATGATTTTATGACTGGGACTACAATAATATGCCCACAATTTATGTTGCTATATACAGTATATGAACCTAAAATATAAATATTATAATTACCCAACATTATGTTCTGATATAAAGTAATTTTCTTTAAACTATTTATTAGTTATCAGAACATATTTTGAAGTACTTAAGTGCTGCAGTAATATTTTAAATATTAATCTAAAAATCCTTTCTTGTTCATGCAGACAAAAATTGTCTTTTCAATCTTCTCCCAATTGCCATTATCTTAATATCAGACCTAAAAAATAATGGGGTAGAAGATTTTTTCCTCCCTCTCCCTTGAAAGTTTCCAGGTTTTGTTTTTTTTAAATGACCCTCCCATGTCTATGATAACTGAGGACCAATCTGATGATTAAAGACTTTCTCCATGCACAACAGAAGAACATTTACCTTGAATTCTTTTCAAATAATACTGAAACATTCCAGGTTTACCAGCTTTCATGGGCTGTCAAACTTAAATAACCTTGGTTTATCTGTAAAGATATTACATCCCCCTCCCCCCAACTGTCTTCTAAAAAAAACCCTGTACGTTTCCCCAGTAGTAAGATTTTATGGGCCATGTTCTGCCCTAAATTACTATTACACATCTATATTTAAATCTAATGGTAGAGTGCAGACTTAACAGAGCTTTATTTGGCCTGCAGAACATTTATTTCTAGTGATGTTGTACAAAAAACAACAGAACTCCAATGCAGGAGTCTGAAACACTAAAACATTTTAAAAAACAAAGGGGAAAAAAACCCAAAATAAAACCCTACACCAAACATTATCCTGGAAACAGAATATCTTCCATATAGAGTCAGTGAGTTGCAAGAAAACGCCAACTCCGTTTAAACCCCCCCAAAAACAGCCAGTTAACAATAGTCAGTTTTTAAAGGACATGGTAATGCTGCTTACTTTTAAAAGTAAACTGTCCTAACACATGGGATGTTTTATACACATTGAAAATACTTACCAATTTCCATAATCAAAATCAAATGCGATAGTAATTTCTGTTCCCTTTGGAATGTTTTGGATGGAGTAAATATAAAGATGAATCGTGCCATCTTCAGTTACATGCCTCACCTAAATCCAAGAGCAAAACCATTATTTTATAATGTAGTTAAAGCAAATTTTTTAAAACAGATCTACATTTAACCATTTTCTACGGTATTTTATAAAGTCAAACTGGGAGATTGATGAAAGCAGAATAAACAAAGAGAACAGCTATGTTTTGTATACGTAGAAAGTACATCCTATTTCCTTATCATGCCCTTCAAAGAAATAAAAAATTACTCTTGAAAAATGCCCTGATGACTAGGTATAATCTATTACTCATGATTTATACACATTTCTTCCTCATTCTCTGCTTAGGAGTTGAGGCATTATTGAAAATATTTTATTTCAGAGTAACATACTAAAGGTAGTCCATTTGGTTTTTTAAAGTTTTAATTTGCAAGACTACAACTGTCATTTCCACCACTGGCCAAATAGAGGTGAGGCATTCAGTAACCTAATGCACTTGAGTTTTGTGTACAGGTACTTTACAAAGTAACAATTATATGAAAGAAACTTGTAACTTCTTGACCAAGAGTAATGCTTGAAGACTAACCCAGCATTATACAATACAAAATTTCGATAATAAATCTCGTGAGTCAAGTGTAAAATGTGGGCTGTTCATCACATCCAGAAACCCACCCCCCCAAAAAATTTATTATTTCATATGGCCACAGTCCTACCTCAGCATTTGGTGTACAAGAACGTCTGATGAAACGAGCTTCATTTCCAAAGGTTCGTGCATCAACACACATTTCTAGCCCATGGAATTTTGAATAGAACAAAACAAAAGGGTATGGCCTAGAAAGAAAAAAGCAACAAATGCTTAGTCTGTAATATTTAAAATAGTAATTATATTTTTCATTTTAAATTATTAAAGCTTGTTTTATTTTACATCATTATATTTCCTAATACAAGTCCAATATAAAAATCAATACAGGTTAGCAGCTAAGAACTTTCAAGTCCAAATCTATCTGAGCTTTTTAAAGACAAAAATGTAAAATATTCAAAAGTTTCTCAGATCTAAAATGTGGTTTTACAAACAACTCCTTTGTCAGAGAGTTGGCAGGGAGGGATAGGATTGTTGCTAAAGGTCAAAATTAGAAGACAAAAGGTCAATAATCTGACTGTTGTGGATAATCTTGAGCAGATCACTTAGTTTCTCTGGATTCAAATTTCTCAATTTGTCTGACTGTGATACTATCAAAAAGTCACTAGGTTGTTCACAGATATTTATAAACCACAAAGATGTTCAGATGAAAAATGTATCCGCATTCAAAACCTTAATGCTACATTCCTGGTCTATTAAAGATAAGAAAATGTTCCAGTATCTGGCATAAAAAGACAAACAAGCTAACTACAAAAAGTATCAACTTGTTGGTAAAACAGCACAGTTAATAAAAGTTATTTGAATTATTATACCTTTTAAAGAAATAGCCATTAGCTTCAAATTGTTCTCTCAGCATGAATTTTCCTCTGTATTCAATAATAAGTGCATCTGGAGGCAAGTCTTTGGCAGCTTTCAGAATTTTCTTGTTTTTTTGCACATAGCTCTACGAAAAAAGAAGACAAAACAAATTTAAACAATATTATTTAACTGGTCGTACTGCCGTTATTAGGCATAAGATTAAACTGTTGAAACCTTTAAAAGCAACAAGCAATTGTTAACTCAAACCAAACCTTACAATTAAAAAAAACTATATGACCTTATTAACCTGTTCCCCCTAAAAATGCAATTACCTATGGACCAAGACTGTAGAACTGTCATAATAACTATAGATCTCTACTACATGGCTGTGAACCAGTGTAGCAATGCCTTCAATTCTGGTATTATGTTTAATGATGGATTACTGTCATCATCATCATAGGGATTGTTCAATACAGCTATGCGTTCTGACAACCACAGGCAAAAGTTAGTTTGCGTAATAGATTTTTTTCCAGGAATTGTCAGGGCACTGATCAAAAGGGAAAAATGGAAAGGTTATGCATGGTAGCATCTTTATCCTATTGAGAAATAGGACAGGAAGATATCACATAGGATGAACTTTAATAAAAATGTTGATAACAGGAAAATATAAATTAAGTTTTGTGCATTTCTTTAACTTCAGATGGGCAGATGCCTTTTAATCAAAACCTAGTATGTACTCTGACACAACAACTAAGGAACTCACACCTCTGGTAATTGTGTCACCTCTGATCAAAAGTGAATTGGCCTATATCTAGGCGAAGGTCTCTGCAAGCAGGGACATTCCTCCAAGGACTGTGTCACGTGCGCCATGCTGATGCTAGAGGGAGAGAAGCAAAGATGCTTCTATTACAAGACCTGATAAGATAACTTTTCCTTAAGATTAGTCTTTCCCTATCAAAAGTTAGATATCCAACAGCTTGCAGATTCCTTCAACAGATCTTGCTGTAACAACTGATTGTACTTGCTTTGTTTTCTCTCTTGTAATTTAGGTAATAAAAGAATATTTATTTGGATTATAATTTAACTGCTGTAGGCAGTTAATTTTAGGAAAATAATACAGAATGTCCCTGTATGCTACTGACACGGACCTGAAGCTAATAAAGTTGTTTCTAGGTTACGAGTCACAGAGAGGTGCTATGCAAACTGTGCAAAAGAACCACTATTAGGGAATCACAAGTACATGAGTGGACTAGTTGTTAAAAGGTAACAGATACTGTTATGCTACCCCAATTTTTTGTGCTTTTTATTAGAAGATGGATTTTATTATGGAGAAAAAGAAAGTGGGGGAAGGCAGTAACTAATATAAAGTTATACAGATAAGGGACCAAACTATTTTTACCCTGTCTGTTTTCAGATATTTAAAATACTTGAGCTTTTTTAACCCTTCAAAGATGCAAACAATAAATAAATAAAATAAAATAAATAAGAATATGTAAGTTAATATCACCTGGATTCAGCTGATACTAACTGGATGGCACTATCCACTGTAACTCCTTTGTAACTAAATAATTCATTTTTGGTATTGGTATTCTTACAACCAGCTCTGGGACTTGCTAATGTGCAACTCAAGTAAGCCAGTGTATTCCAAGGTTAGTTTTTTGTTTTGTTTTATGTTTTAAGAAGTACAGGTTTGGGGCCTAACTTGATTTCCTCTAAACAGCAAGACAAAATATTCACAGACATTAAAAAGAGCAACATTCCCAGCAGCATGCTACTTTATGAATCTGGATCCTCCGAAAGTTCTATGCAGTGCATTAATCACCCATAGCATTCCTCCCATTAGAAATTTTCGAGCAAGACACACCCCATAACTTTTTTTTAAACATACTTCTTACAGGTTTCAGTGAGAAACTTAAGTATTAGCAATCCTACAGACATTCATCTCAAAATTCTCAAGTAGTACAATGAAGTATGCAGTGTATATCATTTTGTTTTCTTCAAGACCTACAGAGAATGGGGGGAGTGGGGAAGGAGTGGTGGGGAGAAAGGGTGCATTTGTTTCCGGAGGCCACTTTTTTGTTTAATTAAACAACATTTGAAATATTAGGGGTAAAATTTCTTCAAGGGCTTAAGCAGTTCAGGACTCTAAATTATGGTATACTCCTAAAGTCTTAGTGAAAGACAAAACCACATACCATATTGTCTTGCATACAATTCACCCTGGAATGGAGTATGTACTTTGTTTTTTGAAAGGCAAAAAAAACCCCTTTCCACATAAAACATAACAAAGTAGCTATAGCTAGGGAGCCAAAACTGCTCATTATTCTGCTCCCTGTGGATTCAGTCAATAAGTAGCAGAATCTGCTTCAATTTCCAGCAGCTGGCTTGTTTCTGGGCTTTTCTGTTTGTTTTTTTTGGGAGGAAGTGGGGTGCTTTGGAGGAAAGGTGCGTGTTTTATGTACAGAAACATGATAGTTTCAGGATCCTTCTTGAGAACTATGTTACACACAATTTTAATTTTGTGGATAACATATGATTTTAATTTGGATAACTGAGTCACATTGATAATAAGGAAGTAAGCTCTATTTATTGGATTCTAAATAAACCAAGAGGGTGAAATTATACGAACTTGATAACAGTACAGAACTCAAAGCATGTTCAGATTAGCTGCTATGTCACCTTCTTCTTATATGAAAGTTATGAACTTACACTAACATATTTTATCCCTCCACAAATTTGACAGCAATACAAAAAGTTTATGTGGGGGGAGAAAAACAATTTATCTATTGCTAAAACAAGCAAACACACCTCAATACAAGCCATGCATGCAAACATCACAGACTACAACACTGTATGTATTTGTGTAGATAACAAGATACAAGTTTTGGTGTTTTCTAAAGTTGTGTGCTTTTTCCCCTTGTTACACAATTCCCTCTCTCTCATTTACCTCTACTGGAGGTTTGAAGATGAGATTGCTGGTGTTGACTTCTTTTTTGTCGTTTCCATTGCCTGATCTCAGAGCTATTCTTTGAGCCTCTCTCTGAACACCTTCACTGTACTGGTTGTTATTTGCTTCTTCATAACGATCCATCCATGCCTTGATTTTAGTTTCCCATCCAAAGTTTGAAATATCAGTAGGATCAATTTCTGGAGCTGAACCCTATAAAAATCAATCACAGTAAGTAACCAGAATTAAAAAGTAAAACATGATTTTCAAAGTTACCCAGAGCCAAACCTAGAATGGCTGATTTAGAATAAGTGACCAACATTTTGTACGAAATTAGTACAAACCATTAAAATGCATAACTCTTTTTATAGTTTTAGAATTCTTGTCATGGTTGTATTTCTTATATATATTTTACATTTACACACTTACCCTTTAGTACCATTTACACAAAAAGTTTTAAAATTCTATGTACTTACTATAAATAATTGGATTTAAACTGCTTAAGCTCTTACAAAACAATACAACTTTGCAGAAAGTCACTACGCTCAGTAAATTTCAGGAATGTTAGTTTTCAGAGGCTTAACAAGCATTTTTTTATGCTCTGGGTAGCTCCTAAAACTGCCAATCTCCCCTCCTTCCTGAAGACAGAACCCAGGGTAGAAACCCTACTTTCCCACCCCTAGGTAAGCTATTGTTATTTTTTCCTGTAACAATAACCCAGAGTGTCAACTAGCTGAAAGATATTTTAGATTATATCACATTTACCTTTACTCTTGAAGATTTCCTAGATCCTTCACGGAAAGCCTGAAATAAATGTAAATGGGAGATTTTTATTTTTTAATGAGGAAAAAAAAATCTCATTTAAAAAAAAATGTTTAATTGCTAGTTCAACTTCTTTAGGCATACAAACTTTCTCTTAAGAAGGAAACAAAACAACTCTGAAAACCAAGGAGGAGGAAAGGCACTTGTATTTTCTGTAATTTTAAAATTATAAAAAGGCACCTTAATTCAATTAAAAAATGTAAGCTTCAAACATAATAGTCTAAGGGCCTTTGGTGATAAAGAAGCGTGCTGTTTCCTACCCCCACAAGTTTACAAACTCTTTGAGATTTGTACCAATGAATCAAAATTAACATAGGGTGCTCTGTAGGCATACAAAGTCACCACAGACAGTGGTAAACATACTGAGCTTATGTCTTGTAAAATTATGGAAACCTTTGCAAAGTATTTCACAATGAACAGAGCTTTTTCATTCATCTCCTTGTACTCTTTTAGCAGGTAAGCACATAATAACAGCATAGTAAAAGTCAGTATATCTTTGGGACTAGGTGTTCAAGTTTATGGCTTAATATGTGCTCATGTATTTTCACAACTGCATTCCAAGTTATTTAAGATTAAATTAATGGCCCTAAATGTCTGGAGCTCCAAAACATCTATTATGGAAATTCTGGTTTTCATTCAATTTATTTTAATAAACGTCACCAACTACGCCATGTGACATAACAGGAAAAGGGGCTTGTGGGATCAGTAAATTTCTGCATTTTCCAACCATCCAAAAAAGTTTGATTTATATGTGAATCTAGAAAAGCAAAATGACACAGTCCACAATGCCAACTCAGTATCTGAAATCAAGTAGTTCACCTATAGAGCTATGGCTGTATGTTCATTTTGCTTCTTTAAATAGCACTAATTTATTCCTGTAGTTAGACATTGTATTTTCAGAAAAACGTTGGAATATAGTAATCACATTTTGTGTACTGAACTGGCTAAACAGTGCAGTTCCTTGCTAGTTTTCTGAGAAGTACATCTCAAGGGAACAGAATGACAAGTCATTTGGGGTACAACTGAAAATACTGACAATCGTGTCTGAACTTTAATGAATGAACAGCAATGTAAAAAACAAAATCCACTTGTTAGCTAGGAAAGGGGAAATAAAAAGACTACTGCTGATGTACTATCAGAAGGCAAAATAGGTCTGTATATATGTATAAATAATTGATCCCTGAACCCAGCAATGGAAGGACTAGTTATAATTTGTATAGCACTTTCAAGTCTTAAGTGACCATATAAAAGCTGTTGCTTGATATGATAGTCTATAAAAACTCCTATCAACCTGTTTTCAAATGGGATGTTGTCATTAAACATAGGGAATTATTAGTCTAACGCTCACTACAGTTGCCCACCACATTACAATCTAAATTCAGAACTGAAGAAACCGCTCCACAATATGGAAGTCAGAAACAAGTTATTCTACTACATGCAAGCTAAAAGCAGGGAAAATCATTTTAGTTCACTCACTTTTTTACATTTTGCAATGTTCTGTTCTTTCTCCCCACTTTTTTTCCTTTTCTTGTCATTGACCTTAGTAACTCTGGTAGCAGTTAGAGTAATTGTAGTTGGTGTGTGCTGAAAAGCTGTATACAGTTCTACAGGAACCTCATCACCACTTTCTGTTGCACTGGTATCCCCATCTTTAAAAGACAAGAAAAAAATCACCATCACAATGTAAACAAGCAAAAAAAAAAAAAAAAGAGGGAGATTGTTAGCTGCTACTACAGTTCTGGATTTCCAAAATTCAGATGTTTCAGTTACAATGTATTCACAACTAAAAACAGCAATAAAATGAAATTTCATTACAAACAAGAAGTTATTAATAGGTGCCCATGATGCCAGGTTAGAGAGCAATACTGTGCAACACAACTGACTTTAAATAAGGCGTACTAGACTTCAATGAGACTTACTTTCAAAACAGGACCAAAACATTTGGAATGGTATATTTATCCAAGTTAAAAAAATAAAAAACTAGGCACTACTTCCCCTTCTTACTCTGAAGCACTGCGCTATGTGCATATTTCTTGGTTTCTCCCAGAGGTGGATATCTGATAAAAATACCATATGCTGGTACAAACTGCTAGATGTAGCCAGTAGCAGATCCAGAAATTGGGTATGGGGGTGGGGTGGTGGGGGGTGTGTGGACCCCTCCACTTTGGCTGCGCCATACATACACAGTGAGTTCCAAGTTCATCGCCTGGTTAGTACAGGCTCCTGCAAGAGTTACACATGAGTAGTGAGCTCTGCTGATTGGGTTAGGGTATGGACAAAGCTCTGTGTGGCTCCAGACCCCAGAGAGCAAACGCTGCTGCTGTTTACCCTTCAACCCCCTGCCCCACTCAACTGAATTCAGCAGCAGTGGAAAACAGGGTATGAGCTGTGGCAGCAGCAACACTCATCCCTTACGCTCCAGAGCTGAACACAAGTAGGTGCTGTAGGTAGCTCCCACATTGAGAGCTCACATACAGCTAAGCCAAAGGGGAGTTCAACTGTACTACTGCACCCACTCCTTGGGCACAGAAATTTAGGATTCTTCCAGATAAAAGGTACTCTTTAAGGCACAGATTTGGTAGCAGCAAATATTAAGGTTATACAGCACTTTTTTTTTCCAATTCGTGTTTCTGTGTTGCATAGCTTTATTAAAGTTTAGGCTGGAATTTTTTATGCTGGAACCATGACAAAAAAAAAAATCCTTTTTAAATCTCAGCCAAAAAAAACTTGAGTCATTTCTGAGAGTAAAGCAATAGGTTGTTTTATTCTTGCTAAAAAATTCTGGTAACCTTTTCCTTTAACAGCTCTATAAGCCCCCATGATTTGTAATAGGAAGCTGAAATCCAAAGGATGACCTTTGTATCAAGGATGTACTTTCTGCCATCCCTGTGAAAAAACTGCTCTATTCTGCCCAAGTTAGAAGACTATGTGGGAGGAAAATATTTTAGTTTACACAGGCTCAGTGAGGACCCCTTGGCTTTTAAGTCCCAAATTCCCCCAAAGTATGCACTTCATATGGTGCCTATATCAGTCCAGCCCTGCAGATAGATCACCCAGGCTAGATCCAGTACTCAGAGCCAGTCTCATGCAGGTGCTGTATACAGGGTGTGCCCTGAAACAGCCTCTCCCGCCCCAGGCAGGGCCAGTGCTTGCTGCATGCAGTACTCAGGGTGACCCATTTGGGGCATGTGTGCTGCATGCAATGCTTCTGGCTGGTCCACATCATGCAGTGTCCCAACACCACCCCCCCACATATATACCAGATAGAATACTTTAATGTGAGGAGTTAAGTGACAAGGAAAGGGGTTGTAAAAACAACCGAAGAATTTTAATCTGTTCATCCTAACTCAATGGCTTTTGTGCTCACAAGTCCCCCAAAGTAGAGACCAATGCCTTTGAAGGGCTGAGGCACTTTTATATGAGATGACAAATACAAAGAGGATGAGTTCTTCCAAAATGGCTTACAGATTCTCAACAGGACTGAAATATATTTCTAGCCAAATTTTTTTTAAATTAGGCAAAAATGGTAGAAGTTTTGGGCAATGAATAAAGCAGGCACGGCTTTAAAGTAGATTTAACTATAGGGCATTTAAGAGAGGTTCTTCAAGCTTTTAAAGAATGAATCATCTAGGGCTTGAAAGATAAGCGCAAAAGGTTTGGAAGGTAAGCTTGTGATTACTTTTTAAACAGACTGTCCCAGCAGCAGGCTACACAATAAATAGGAAGGCATTAACCAGAGAACTGTTCTGAAACAAATGCATGTTTTTCCATATATAAATGCCACTAAAATACTTGAAACAGTTTTCAGATGCTAACACACAGAGACCTACTATTACAGGAGACGTAGGAATTGGCTGGACAAGTGAGTACCAAGACTATTCCACCTGGTGATAAGCAAGGGTGGGTGGGTTCTTCTTGCTACTTTTTGTGGCTTAGTTTTAAGGCTAAGAACTTATTATAAAAATATGTGCATTACAACAAATTAGGTTCCACATGATGTTTGAAGTTAAATATATTAAGTGGGCACACTTCATAACTAATAATGTTAGGTAAGAGCTTACTAATGGGTATGATTATGCAATTATTCCTTGCTTGCGATCACAAAGGCAAGAGTATTGCAAGTATCAGAGGACAAGTCAACGTAACCTTTTAACATTTCACATATCAGTATTAGGTCATTTTTGGCTGTCAAATCATGAAACAGAGACAGAAGGGCAGCAAGTTTATCTTTAGCCTGAGAAAAAACTACTAAGAGTGTGAACAGAAAAGCAGGGAGGAAGAATAGGCCGAGTCTCCTCCCCAAACTTGTTAAGCACTTTAGCTTCACAATACTGCTTTCACTTTGCTATTTTTTTTTTAAGTTCAGAGCTGCAAAATTGAAGCAATTCTCTGGAACACCTTCCTTACATAAAAAGATTTATCAGACCTAATCCTATGACTTTCCTAAGAAGGTTCTCAGAATTTGATGATGGGATATACCAAGAAAGAATGGATTTACCACTGTAATTTACTCTGGCATGCCAAAGAAAGAGACTGGAGTGAGAAACTAGATGAAGAGTTTTAATGTCTCGTAAGAACATAAGAAATACCATACTGAGTCAGCCCACAGATCCACTTAACCCACTATTCTGTCTCTCAAAAGATTCTGGGGTGTCTACCACTTTAAGTGAAGAAGAGGAAGCAGCAAGCACAAAAAAGATGGTCAGTTTTCTGCTTTCCCCATTACTTCTGGGCTGGCTGTAATGCCCCCAATTAAACTGTCACTCTGTCTACTGGGCCTCTGCAAAGTGTCTCTCACAAATACTTTGAGGAGTAAAGCTGATATTTCACAATTCCATTATATCTTCTAATCTTCTGCCAAAGCTTCCTGAAACTAAATGCACTCGATGCAATTGACCAGATGGGCACAAATCAAATGACGTCAATTACAAAAACAGAGAAGATTACCGTATCTTTCATGGATCAGGTTGATTCTTTAAGTCTCTGGAGATCTTTTAAGATCACTGGTCTATGTAACTGACAGCATACTAGTGTCTCTTTTAGTATTCTTTCCACTGCCTTGTTCCATTTCCACAAAGAATCCGGGATTTAAATTTCCTTCCTTGGGCTTGGAAAGCATAGCTCTCCCTCCTGAGACCCAGCTCCTCCTCAAAGACAAAAAGTGGCATTTTACCTAAGGGTTTTTCCATCATTTTTAATTGTCCCTAAGCTTATCTTTCTTCCTCTTTTTCAAGAACATGTTGGAAGAGAGATGAAAAGTTATAAGACGATGTCCTAAAAGATTCATACAAAGAGAACATACATAAATACCATAGTCCTGCAAAAGGCAAAAGGAATGCCTGAAAACTCTGCAAAGATGCAATGATACTGCTTATCATCAGTCCTGATGGAGAGGTAGCGTAGCACTGAACTTGCCAAGAACATCAGCTTCTCCAACAGTTACAAATACATCTGAAGGTACTAGACAGAACAGTATTTGCGACAGACTGCGAGTTTAGTTCTTGAACCCAATACAAGTTTTCTGCCTTTCTTAATGCCTTGCTGTTGTTCCCTGGGGGAAAAAAAGTGGTTTACCTGCACCTGGTAGTACCATATTGAGGAAAACCACTTTCTGGTGCGAGCTGAAATAAAAGCCATCCTTTACTGGCAAGTCTGGGTCAAACTCTGAAAAACAGCAAAGGAGGCAAATATCTCCCTGAAAAGAAAAAGCACACGTGTGCAAGACTTTTTCCTTATTTCAGAATAGGTTGGCTTCTCAAAGCCTGACACATTAAACTTCCCCAAAAAAAGAATCCTAAATTGGGGAAGCCCAGAGGTCAGGGCAGAAGAGACAGTAAGTGGGAAAGAGAACAAAATAAAAGGCAAAAAAAAAATCCAGTGGTCTGACCACTGTTGTCCTGCATGGCTAATTTAAACGTATGGAGCATTCTCACTGAAGCAGAAATGAAAAGGCTGCAAAAAGATTTAACGTAACCTTGTCACTCCCTACACCAGCCTAGGCTCCAACTTGTGTAGCATCTCAACCCACGTCACCCTCTGCTACAGTGGTTTTCCAGTTATCCCCACACCCATGCAATTGCAACCCATCAATCAGTCATGGATTAGGTGAAGTTTCATGACTGTTCACACTCATTTTTCAGCATAGGTCCAAAGATCCAAAAAGAAGCAAAGGAAAAGGGACTTGGGCTGAAAAAATTGGAAGTTATGTCAAACATGGCTGTTTGTCAAGATGCACAAGAAGGCAGCACTGAAGAAATAAATATCAAGTACATGCGGTTCAATCCATTATTTGTAGGTCCAGGTCACAAAATGAAAAATTATTTTAATCATGCCGGATATAACCCAGCGCACAAGGAGGGAAGGAGAGAAGGGAGGGGGAGAGAGAAAGCAAACAAATGCAATTAACTCATAAGAGACTGACAACACATGTCCCTGTCTTTTAGTATCTGGAGTTATTTAGGAAGCCTTGCCACTTCTTTCATAAGAAAGCTAAAGGATTTATTTTATGATAAATTCATAGTTTATTGCTTGTAACTATTCTTAAACTAGTTACAACTTTGCACAAAACAATAAACAAAATAAGGACTATTTTCCATAAGCAATTGTCAGTCAGTGTTCACTTTTATTAAGTAAAATTCTAGAACTCTGCACAGTAAAGCAAATGGAAATCCTAACTAAAAGCAACTAGAGCAATATTCATTTTAAATAAAAATTCAGATGTTGGGTAACTGCCAATTTCTTATAGGAAAAAATATAACTGTTCCAGTATAACTGGAACACTGAAGTAACCAGTAAACTGAAACAAATTGCCATTACCAAAAGGAAAAGCAGTACAAATAATGAAAAAGTAAAGCTGGGGTAGGGGGAAAGGCTGAAGGTAAAAAAAGGAAGACATACATGTTAAAACAAATGCTACTGAATGACTGGAAAAAGAAAGCAAACTCAGTGACTGGTAGAGAGAAGATGTAATGCTTACCAACAATAATGATTCAGATACCTCTTAAAAAAATAGGTAAAATACAAAGTTCAATCCAAATTAACTTTTAAAAAGTATATTGCTTCCTTTTTTATAGATAACTTTTACGGCAAACATGGAAGAGGCTCCAGACACTCAAAGTGTATGTACCATCGTCTAAAACAAACACTAGTTGTACTCTGTGGTAGAAGCAACATGAAAGACATTCTACACAAGCTACAATATAGTCAAAATTTGTGCTACTTAAAAAAAACAACAACTGTACCACGATTTCTGCATACATATCAACAGAATACGTAAAGGAAACATTTCTTAGAGAGTTTTATGTACATACTAATAAACATACCAACTAAAAAACATACTTTGGTTGTGACCAGAAAACAGTTAAATTATATAACAGGCACAAACATTAGTTATATTATTCATCTTTATACTTCACTGACACAATCATATATTTGTTAATAATTAAGTTTTCTTTTTACCCACCTGACATATTTTCTCTTTTTCTTCGCTGCAGCAGCACAGCCCTTTCTTTATCTAAACTCCTGCATAAAAAATAATAAAATGATTTAATTTTTACCTAGTAGAAGTTTGGTGTGAATGGAGGCAAACACAATTATTAACTATTAATAATTAAACTCAGACTCTCTCACACAATTATATAGTTATCAATATATGCATTTAGTTTATGTTGCAATAGTCACTCACTAATGGTATTTTAATACCAACTGCATGTATATAAAAGTAACTATTTCATTCTGTAATAGTATGACTTGAGTAGAGTAGCATCAGCAAGTGCTCTTCTCAACCTTCCCAGAAAAGGTAGCAAATGTTGTACTTATATTTAAAGACAGAATCTAAGCTGATTCATGGAATTACAGACAAAGTCCTACATCTTTATTGGTAAATTTGTCAAAGTCATAATTAAAGACAGAATAAGTAAAGGATGGGCAAAATGGTGGATCCGGCTGACAGCCGGACTCCATTTCCCAGCAGCGCCTCCTGCCCACATTGCTGTATCTGGTTTCCATGGAGATCCCATTAGCAGTTGGGGCCAATCTCCATGGAAACTGCTATAGCCCTGATGCTTCTGGGGTCTCCATGGAACCCGGCCACAGCAACATGGGAAGGGGTTGCTGGGAAATGGAGTCCACTGTGGGCCTGATTCAGCCCATGGGCCGGACTTTGCCGACCCCGGAATAAGGGATCTAGAAGGTTATTATGAGAGATGCTCCAAAAAAGCATTATTTCTGCAAAGAAAAGTCATGTTTTGCTAATTAAAATGTTCTGCATGTCAATAAAACAACAATAAAGGAGGTGATAATTAAGTTGCTATGGAATGAGCAGCAAAGTATTCCTATGCCCAGAAACTGCATATCTGAAAAAGAACAGGAGAGGCTTACTTATCATAGCAAAAAGGTAAATAACAGGTGCCTGAAATATTTGTTCTAGCGCTAGTCCTACATATAAAAAAAAGAGGAAGCATAATAATGAGGTAGGAAAATTTACTGTTGACAAAATATGCATTTTAGGTGAACTCAGAAGACTCTGGAATCTCAAAACGACCAAGCCAAGATGACAGATGGAATCTGGTATTAAAGACTAAATAATAAAAACGGAAAGGAAAAATACAATTGCTTGAATTTTTTCATAAAAAGAACTTAGAAATGTCAAGTCAGATTTTCCATGGTCTAGTTAAAGAATACGTACTAGGTCGCAGTGCATATTCACTGCAAACTGTAGCACCGCAAATCAGAAGTCTGGAAGTGCTTGAATATTATCTGAGAGATAATATTTAAAGATTAAGATTACACTGAAGATGAAAAAAAAAAAGTTAATAAAATATTTTAGGACAACTTCTCAATATTTTTCCTCACCTTCCCTCCTCCACTCCACCCCCCACAACTGTTTGTCTTTCAGTATCTTGACCTCCATGATACGACTTCTTAAAAGTCATCATAGATATTCTAGCATAGAAAGGATCTGAACACTTGATGCAATCAACCCTCCTCTCCCCTACCCACTCTTTTCAGAAAAACAGAGCCCCCTTTTTTGGAAAAGAAATAAACTTGGACACATTAGTGAAAAGTACATTGTTAAAAAGAGGACTGTCCAGAAAATAAAGGTATTATTGGTTTAGTTTGAGAAGAGAAATCAAGCAAAAACAAGGGAGAGCAGTCCTCTGAATAAGCAGTCTTGAGGACAGGGAGAAAGCTGGGAAGTACAGGATACTGCTCTGAAGAGGACAAACATGCTACCTGACCTATGAAAGCGAAAACCCAGTTATTTAGGGTTTCCATGGCCATAAGCTTGTGATGAAATGATCTGCCATTACACTGCCATCCTGTGAAGGCATGCAGTAACCCACGCTATTGAAATGAGGACTGTCTGCTTACACTGCCACCTAGTGGCACAACTTCTGAGGAGGAGGGGGGCAGAGGAGCTTGAAAGGGACTAAATTAGAAAAGCACAAACGTATGAGAGTGCTGGAACAGCAGCTGTGAAGGGGGGGGCGGAAACACGATGACAATACAGACTCTTGAGAATGAAGAAGTATACACAGCATAAGCCCACATGGACAACACTATTTGTTACTGCATCTGGACTTCTGATATCCCAGATGGGATTTCATGACTTTTCATGACTTGACTACAGGGCTAAATCACTTTAGCTACTAAACCAAAATTAGAGAAGTGATGCACAGGGCACATCAGGAACCAGAAAGAAGGGGTCTCTGCTACACCTAGGAACACCTCTTAAGTTTAAAAAATAGGTGCAATATTGTTGCAACTTATTAGAAAAGTAGTTATTTTATCTGGAACTCTTAAGTCTATGACAGGGTTATGGGTTGAAGCCCTGTTGGTCTTAGGAAATAAGAAGACACAGTTCTTTGGGTAAATCTGATATCTTTTATTAGACCAACTCAAAGAGTTTAAAAATTCTTCTTTGCAAGCTTTCAGGTACAAACAACCTTTGTCAGGCTGAAGAAGCATCTGCAGTTGGTTTGTGCTCCTCCTGGATGGAATGAATAGTATGCAAGAAAGGCAGTCACTGAAGATGGCAGACAAGGTTCTCTGGGTGAATCTGATACATCTTTTATTAGATGTAAATTGAGGAATCAGTGGGTGAGAGAGGTTGGGGGTCTGCCGAGGCCTATGACAGTAATTCTTAACCAGGCTACCACAAGTTCCTTTTAAGGATGCCCCACAATATGAACACTTATGTGTGCAAGCACCTAAAATTCACAAGATAATAGATTCCTATTTGAAATCTCTTGAATTTGAGTCAAACGCATTTTGATCTTTTGTGGTCCGAGTCCTCTGCAACAGAAGAAATGCTCAACTATTTTTCAATAATCAAAAAAAAGTGAAACCTTACAGCTGGAAATTTTCTGAGTGGTACCCTGAATCTAAAAGAGTTGAAAACCCCCAGCCTATCCCATCCTATCTTGGTTATTCATTGCTTTTTCATTAATTCGTTGTTTCAACATTTCTTCTCACTTTCTGACTATGCCTTGCCTTATTACACAAAGTATTTACCTCGTGCAACCTCTACAGTGGTATCTGATTAAAAAACCAAATAGCTTAGCTACTCCAAAACACTATTAATTACTCACTTTATTTCCAGGTAGTCCAACAGATTCATCAATCTTTTGCAATCTTTCTTCTTAGTACTTGGAGAATTTGCATAGTTGGTATAGCTGGCATATTTATTTTATAATCTAGAAATCGACTTACTACTTTGCATTTGATTTTTCAGTAAAACTTTAATATTAAAAATAATTTAACATCTGATTAAAGGCAAATTTCACATATCGTATTATATTCCCCAAGTATTACATTTTATCTAATATTTATAACTCTAGACAGAGAGAATAAATATACTGGCTAACTACTACTCACCTAGGTTGACAACGCTCACACAAGTATATATCAGGAATATGCTGCCTGTCGATCCCCATGCAGTCAATGTGCTGCCAAACACTTAAAATAATATAGTGTTATTAAATGTATAACATCTTCTGAAATCAAAGTATTTAATGTTTACTCTATTACATACACAGGACATTCATTCAAAACCAACTTATATGGCTGCTGTTCTCCCTAAATTTCTATGTAAACTTCTTTTAATGAACCACTATCCCAATATTTCATTGTGCATGTTCCACTGATCCCTACATAATTCCTTTCCCAAAGATTGTTTCTTAACATGCCTTTACTCTAGAAAATGTTCTTTCAACACTTTGAAAATATATAGAGGAATGAGAATTGTTGTTTACAATGGGGTTAAGACTGGCAAGTATCCTTAGCAAGTCTGACCAACCCATTTCATTGGTTTTTACAATATACTAAAAGACCAAAATGAATGTTGTCTCATTACACAGGAAGATTTTCTTGTAAAGTCCTTAAACCATTCTTCTTATGAAATATTACTTATAATGGTCACCACCAACAAAAATACTGTGCAGCAAAACTAGATATTACCAGACTCAGAACCAGGAAAAAAACAACAGACTATGACTGAGTCAATATTTTGTTTCTACTTTATCTTGTGCATTATCCAGACCAAAGGATAGATTAGCTTAAATCAAAGGATTACATTAAATCAGCACATAACAAGAGTGACCTGCGTAGAGCCTGACCACTGACAGAAGAATGTATTACTAAATCTTTACCATAGCATATGATTTTCTTTCAGGATAAAGGACTATCAACAGAACAATAGCCACTGAATATGTAACCAAGGTAGTTTAGACGGCCAAAAGAAGCCAAACCCAGGCAAAACTGTCCTTAGTAACGATGTTGGTGTTACTATAAACAGTAGTTTCTACTGTAGCAAATTTATCCAAGTTGATAAAACTAGCTAAGATATTCAAGAACAGTAATCTAAAAGTTATCCAGGCCCCTTTTCTCCTCTTGTAGTCCAAACTGCTCTCTATTTCTGTATATGGCGCTAAGCCCCTACTGATCTTAGGCAAGATCAAGCACGTCTGAACAAGGATTTCAAAGCTCAACTGTTTAACTTTTCTTTCCAAATCTTGGGCCACCATTTCTGCTATAAATCAGATTCACACTAAAATGTCTAAACCCTTTATACTGATGAAGAGTACCTGGTGGGGAAGAGGGGAGGAAGCAGGGAGAGAGAGTGGTAAAGACTATTTATATAAATCTGGTGCTTAATGTAAGGGTATAATTTTGCTCGAAGTATTGGGATTCTCTTTATTCCAAATTACTTCCTCTAAATTTACTACTTTATTGGGCTGTGTAGTTTCACAGATTTCATAGACATTAGGGCTGGAAGGAACCTTGGAAGATCGTAAGAGTCCAGTCCCCTGTCCCAGGGGCAGAAAGTAAGTTGGGGTCATAGGATCCCAGCAAGATAAACATCCAATTGACTCTTAAAGGAATCCAGAGTAGGTGCTTGCACCACCTCTGGCAGCAGTCTGTTCCAGGCCTTGGGGGCTCAGACTGTAAAGAAGTTCTTCCTTATGTCCAGCCTAAAACGGTCTTGGAGAAGTTTGTGACCGAAGCTTGTTAGTCTAAAGCAGGTGTTCCCAACCTTTTTAGGCTGAGAACCGGCAAACCACAGATCAGCAAACTGCAGACCAGCAGTGACCGGCATACTGCAGGCAGGTAGCCAATCCTTTTTTACGTTCAGTATAAAAAAAAAGGGTTGGCTGCCAGTTTGCAGTATGCTGGTCACTTCCAGTCGACGGTTTGCCAGTCTGCGGTCACTTCTGGTCCGGCAGCCAGCCCTCCTATAGACCGGCAGCCAACCCTTTGCGGCCCAGCACCAGGCCATGACCCAGGGGTTGGGAACCCCTAGTCTAAAGTATATGTTACTACTTGGTGTACCCATGTTAAGAACCAAATCGTCACACATTCTTATTCCATAAATAAAGGAGGGAGTGGGAAAACAGCCGAAGAGATATCTTTCTGATAAAAAGGTAGCATGTGAGAGTCAGACATGCCATCTAATAAAGGAGCAAACAGAAACATATGTGAAGTTAGGAATAAGTGTGACATCCTTTCCTGATTGAATCTGCTATCCCTTCTGTTAAGCCAGTCATGGACTTGCAAGAATCTGTTTTGATGCTGGAGTTTCTCGACTTAAAAAATTAACATGATCTAAAATGATAACTAGTCATTTTAGAACAGCTTATTCTGGCAGTCTAAAACATTAATATGCAAATATATGATCTTTAACATTTAAATTAATTTTACCTGCATTTGTCACAACAGATCATGTATCCATCATCATGGGTAAAGCCACAAATGCACCTGGTAATATCAGTTCCATAGCTTCCATCCTCTGACGTACTGATGGTAGTAGCACTGGAAGTTTCATCAAAATTGGGAGTGGTAAATATGCCTACTTCATTCTTGCTAATAAGAACGGATGGAGGAGGAGATGCTGGAGGCGTTGGAGGAGGACGAGCACCATAGTTATGGTCCTGTATGATTTTTTGAAAAACCCCATAAAAACTGTTATTTTGACATGGTTCTAAAACATGAAGCAGAATTTCTCTTTAGACTTTTGAGAAGTTAAAGAGTAAGAGTATGAATCCCACTCCTGACTTCTGCAGAAAGTTGCTCTAACCTGACCCAGATATAAATCAGTACTTGGGTTTTCCAAACTGGAGAGTCAGAGATGGTTAGATGCATCAGTCCCTTATGTCTTGTCAGCTTTAGAAATAATCTTAACTATACTAACTGGGTAGGCCATTAGGTTTAGGTAAGCCTCTAAACTGAATTCTTTAAACGGCCCTCACCCCCCATTCCCACTTCTCTGATACATGGTTTCATAGCCTAAATAGAATTTTAAGAACAGGATCCTAAATTTATTTTTCTAAAAATCACATAGGCATCTATCTAATTGATTCTACTGAACTTGTGAAATTTAAAGCAGTTACCCCGAGGCATTTATAGTTAGCACATATAACTTCAACTGCTTTTTTTTCCCCCATTTGTAATATGCTTATTTATCTGTTTATACATCTACAATAATACTACTGTGGTGCATTTCCAAATTGGTATTATTTTTGTTACAAACATACATAATTGCTCAGAAGACAATTTTAGACAAATAATTAAAAAACAGTAAAGTTTAAAGACTGGAGAGAAAACAGTATTTACTGACAGAAGACAGAATTCCAGGCCCCCCCACCCCAGAATTGAGTATCTAAATAGGCCTTTCCTAAAACTCCCATTTTGTATATTTGGTTTTCAAATAATGTCCCCCCTTATACTATTCCAGCCTACACACAATACAGGTTTGTCTCAAAGGTAACTGATTTAAAAGAGATAGGCTTTCAAACAAGGTATGAAACTTACCGCATAAGGCAAACCAATGTAACTGTGTGAATGATGAGAGCTGCTGGTATAAAACTGGTGTGGGTAACTGTTTGATTTTTCAACTACCACTGGGCTAGCTTCTACAGATTCTGGTCTGAAAAGCAAGATATATTATCATTACACTCAAGAATATTTCACATATATTTGCTCTTTCTTCTATTATTCATATCACAACTAAGTACGTATATGCCTTTCCTGAAAAAAGACCTATTTTTATTCTCCGATCCTAAGCCGCCCTGAGCCGCTTTTGGGAAGGCCAGTATATAAACCAAGTAAATAAATAAAATCAAGTGGACCCAAAAGAAGTGTAAGATATGTATCACCAAGGAAGTATGAAATACTTCCCACGCATGGATCTTCTGAGGTACAAAATCTTATTATAGGTCTATAATACAAAGTCAATACTGGAGCAATTTAAATACCCTAAACCAGCAGTTCCCACTCTTTTTCCATGTGGTATTCCTAATTCTGACTTTGCACAGCATGATTACTGTCAGGTCACATTCCACACCAAGTTACTAGAAGTAGTATACTAGCCACATTGTTTCTTGATACTTCTGTCATCATTAATCTCAACAGAGTTGCAGGTATCTGTCAAGATGGTCTTCACAACACTACCTGCAACTTTAATACGTTCCACAATGACATCTAGTGGTAGAATTACTGTGGTGCCATTATATTCCTCCAGACTTGTTACCCTCAGCTATCTGGTTTTGGTGGGGGACAAAAAGAAGGAAGTCTCATAGTAAATCAAGAGGTGGCATCCATCATGTTTAAATGAAAGAAAAAGATGACAGTGCGAGGAAAGAAAAATACATAAAGGCGGGGAAATAAATTTGTGAAAAGGACAAGAAACAAGATATCCTATTGCCTCTCTCAACAGTCATTATAGATGTACCTTGAGTATAATTTTTTCTGGCTCCCCTTTTGGAATTAACCAACAAATTACATTTTCGTATTAGTAGCAGTAACACTTGTTTCCCCCCCGCCCCAATTCAGGGTAGGACTACACCATTTGGACACATTTCAAACCAGACTAGCTCAGAATGAAACTTTTACATGATGGCAATCACTGCAGGACCACAAAAGGTTTCATAGACATTTTTTGCCTTGTACCATGAAAAAAAAGAAAGAAAAGACTTTAAAATGAAGCCGGGCTGGTTAAAGGGACACATGATTTCAGTTGTCAACTTCTGTTTTAAAGAAAAAACTATTAACCAGGATTTAGAGAATAAGAAATTAGAGGTGAGAGAAATATGATTCACCTTGGTTTCTTTGAAAAAAAACTACTCCACATGTATTTACATAGTTACTCACTTTCTCTTTATCTGAACAGATTTACCTTAGCAGGAAAACAATTACAAAGGACAAATGAACAACCAAAACAGACAGTAGCGATCATCTGGATAAATTAAGATTAAAGACTTGAAAAATTATTTTAAATTAAATTTACATTCTTTTAACCCATCAGCCAGTCGGGTTCTCTCTCTCAGCTACAAAATAAATCCTTCAAAGTGGAGTGATCTATAAGAGTGGAGTTACAAAGCTAGTTTACATTTTTGCTTCATGCTAGATAGCTGTTTTGGCCTTTTTAAAAGAGGTTAAAACCTTTAGTGCAGGGTTATCTTTTTTTATTCAGTTTACAGTATCAAGTTTACCCCAAACCACCTAGTATTTGAAACTACACACTGAGAATTCTTTCAAAACTTCTGTTATCCTGAAAAGAGGAATACTGTATTTCCTTTATTGTACCAGAATTTTGTTAGATAGGAAGTCTTGCTTCTGAATAAATGGTGGTGTGAAAAATGACAAAAACTAACAAACAACCTGTGATATGAGAGTGCAAAGAAGCTGCTCAACAAGCCAAAAGGGTCAGAAATACTTCTCAAATTTTTGTATACAATGACTCATTAGACAGAGGCAAGTTTTGAGAGCATCCATCCCACCAAGGAAGGATGATCAACTTTAATTCTCCATGGCATCTGAACCCAGGATCTAGATTCTCAAAATTCTAATTTATCAGATGTTGAATATCCACCCAGAATTGTTCAGCTAAATTTCTAAAACTTAAAACCACACATAAGGCAACCTCTTTCTTTCTCATTCAAAACTGCATTGACATCAGTTATTTCTGATGTATTACTTCTAATAATGTTTGATAGTGAAATGTAGCAGCATGGCTATTCTGGCATTCACTAAATTGGCAATTTTTCTCTTAGGATTATCTGGTTCATATTTATTTTTCCTAGTATTCGAAGGACTTGGCCTAATGCAGTGGTTCCCAATCTGGTACACAGACAACCTGTCAGTGGTACACGTTAACAGATTTATTATAATTACTTCACATGACAAAATTTTGCTGGTGGTACTTGAAGTTGTATAGTTTTAAATTGACAGTGCACAATCTGTCAGAGTTTGGAAACCGCTGATCTAATGGCCCACTGGAGCAGAAAAACCTTCTGGAAAAAAAAAAAAGTGCAGTCTTTCACCTTCGTAACAAAACAGACATAAAAATATCAAGTCCTTAAACAAGAGTGAACTCAAGAAAATTCTACCCAACTGGTTCATAATCTTTTGAAAGCCTAGTCACCAAGATTACATGTTCTTACAAAATATATCCTGAGGGTGGCAGTCTACACATTCAACACTCAAATGGATTCCAAGATTAAGGTGACACTGTAATGGATTTAGAGTGCCTTTTCAAGGCTGTCAATAAACCAAACTGCATGCGAGGCACTGGCTAGTGTAGTGCTTTGTTGCCCAGTTCAATAAACTTGGTCCCCTCAATGCAATTCTCCTGAGAAGTGATTATACACATGGTTGTTTTCTGTAAAAGAGAATTACCAAAAAAAAACTCATTTTACTTAAAAATAAAGAAATCCAAGTATTATCAAACACCCAGATTTATATTAATAATCCAAACTCAGGGCACAAAGCTAAAGAGACTGAGGAAGGGAGAGGTGTAAATCTTCTCCAAACACAGAGATAGCTACAATTAAAACCAGAAAAAGAGCTGCCATTAAAATTAGAAAAAGCCCATTCCAAATTTTAGCTACTCTTACCATGAAGAAGTTTTTCCTGATATCTAGCCTAAATCTGCTCTCTGTCAGTCTGTGACCATTGTTGCTTGTTACCCCAAGAGGCGCCCCTGGTGAACAGAGCATCTCCAATCCCTTGCTGCATCCCCGATGAATTTGTAGGTGGCCACAAGATCACATCTCGGGATTCTCTTGCAGAGGCTGAAGAGGTCCAGGTCCCTCTGTCTCTCATAGGGCTCGTCTTGTAAGCCCCTAACCATGTGAGTGGCCCTCTTCTGGACCCTCTCAAGTCTATCAACATCCTTCTTGAAGTACAGCGCCCAGAACTGGATGCAGTATTCCAACTGCGGTCTGACCAATGCCACATACAGGGGAAGTACCACCTCCTTGGATCTATTTGTCATGCATCTGTTCGTCACACTGACAACTCATGTTCATCTTGAAGTCCACTATGACTTCAAGATCCCTTTCTACTTCTGGGCTGTTGAGAGGGTCACTTTCCAGCCAGTAAGTGCGCTAAATATTTTTGCGCCCTAGGTGCAGCACTCTGCATTTCTCCTTGTTGTAGCGCATCCTATTGTGTACTGCCCACTTTTCTAACCTGTCCAGGTCTGCCTGCAATCATTCCCTACCCTCTGGAGTGTGTACTTCACTCCACAATTGAGTATCATCCGCAAACTTGGACAGAGTACACTGATGAAGATATTGAAGAGTACAGGTCCAAGGATTGAACCCTCCGGGACCCTACTACCTACATCCTTTCAGGTTGATACCAACCCATCTACTACCACTCTCTGGGTGCGACCGCTAAGCCAATTTGCCGCCCACCAGACCGTTTAAACATCTATGTCACAGCCTCTGAATTTATGAAAATGGGATGAGATACTGTATTCAAAGGCCTTGCTAAAATCCAAGAAAACAACATCTACCTCTCCATCTAAGTATTTTGTGACCCTGTCATAAAACAAAACCAGATTGGTCAGGCATGATCTACCTGCTACAAATCCATGCTGGTTTCCCCTGCTGCATTATTTTTCCCACTGGACTCCCCACAAATATGATCCTTCATGATCTTTTCAAAGACCTTTCCAAAGATGGAGGTGAGACTAACTAGCCTATAATTACTAGGATCCTCCTTCCTCCCCTTCTTGAAAATAGGGACCACATTGGCCCTTTTCCAGTCCTCCGGGACCTGACCCGAGCACCACGAGCCGTGCCAGTGGTTCTGCTATAACACCAGCCAATTCCTTCAGTATTCTCAGATGCCACTCATCCAGGCCTGCTAACTTGAACACATCCAGTCCATCCAAGTGACTCTGCACCAAGTTAGTGTCAACAGTTGGTCAGGTTTTGTTGCTGAAAGTCTTTAACTGCCTAAAAACCGTTAATAAAAAATACAACTTCCAGCTGTTAATAGGTGCTCATCAAAACCAATGCATTAAATAGCTTCCAACATATATTCTGATCCATGTCTCTGGTTCAAATGTTAAACACCATGGATGACATTTTATTTTCTTGTGGTCATCTAAATGACAAGCGTTTTTAATTGCCTAAATGACATTTTCAGTACTTTTCACAGGCAGCTACTTCGTTTCTGCAGTGTCAGTGCATACATGGGCATATGTACTATATGTGCAAATTGAGCATGCACATTAGGTTGCAAACTAAACTATAAGGTTCTAGGTTCCCCCAAACCTTTTTACCCAGAAGATTTGAACCTGCATTTTGCTGGCTTCCTAACACAACATGCTAACCACTACACTACAAGTCATAAATTACCTACCCTTTCTTCCAGCATTCCTTTTGAAGCTGGGCCCCTGGGAAAATCCAAGGAGATTATGTGGGGTCAGGAAGAACACAGAAAACCAGAAGGTAAATGGCTTAGTGTGATAGCTGATGCTCTGGAAAGGAACAAACCCTACATCCTAGGAGCAAACCTCCCCTGAAGCTTTGCTCCTAGGGAGGCAGAGCACCGCCCCCCATCCCATCCCATCCATTTTAACCAACGACTACTAAATAAAAGAAGCAGACACTAAGCTTCAAAAGGAGTGCTAGA